TTTTCCTGGCACACCAATATTTATACTAGATGCCTTTGCTTTCAGATGGTCTATTAGTTGGTCAACAAATATTGACAGAGCACCTATTACAGTCCAGGCACTCTCCTAACTTCTGAGGATAAAGTGGAAAATAAGTTACACAAATCCTGCCTTTCAGGAACTTATATTTAGCATTTGTAAGAAGTCTGTTCAATTTATTTAGCAAAGAGTCATTTGGGATTTTGCTAGGGAGATTAGGTAGTAAATGCCCAGATGTCTGTGCTCTGTACTCTAAAACGGAGGAGGAAAATGGGAATGACTACTGAGACAGAGTCCCTTACATAAACCTTCAATTACTGTTCCTGTTTACAGCCCCACTTCTCATGCACACCTCATTTTACCTGCTAATTCTGAGTCCAGTGCTTCTCCAGATCCTGATGGTCAGATTTGCCTTTACCTCTGTCATGCTCTGGTAACACATTCTGGTTGTGACTTCTCCACTTGATTCAGTCATGAACATTCTACTATCCACTTTCTATTTTCTAAAAATTTATTGAAATTTCTTACTCAGTTATGATTCTCCTCCATTTCTGTTTATAATTCTAGTATTTTTTCTTTTTGAATATTGATATTTTTATTTTAGAGGATCCCAGGAGGGACTTTTACAACAAGTAAAAAAGATAGTGAAAATATAAAGATAAGCTAAAGCCCTCTTTTTTGCTTGCCAAACTTTCCATTACTATAATCATTAAAAATTGGTTTATTAGTCATTCCTTTCCAAAGTAGCCATTATATGGATTTTACCTAAAACCTTCATTCAATACTTAAGTTGGGACCTTTGAAGAGTTATAGGCTCTTCAAGACAGTTCTATATTAATCAATTTTTATTCGTTGCATTTTACTCTACTTCTTCCTTTCTGTACTATCCTCATACAAAATTAGAGGAAAGAGGATATCACAGATTGAGTGTTAGAAGGATCTGTTTGAAAGAAGAAAGGGCAATCAGGGTCTTCACTATGATAATGATAGAATTGTTTGTGGCATATTGTACAAAAATCTAAATACCTTTTTTAAACACTAGATACAAAGCAATCTCCTTCCTCCTTCTACCATCTCTCTGAGTCACTACCCACCCAAGACCTTTTAATTAAGAGTATGGGTCTTAATTAAAAGGTCTTGAGTAAGCACTGAAAAAGTGGGAGTGCCTGTAAAAAAGTTAGGGAGCTAGCCCTTAACATTGTTCAGAGACAAGGCAAGATCCAATTTTAACTTTCTAAATAGAAGTTACAGCATAAAACCATAGAAATTTAAAGTTGGAAGAGTTCTGTACCTTTGCTGTTAGCCATTCCTGTCTTACTTCTTCTCATGCAGAACTCTTCCCATAAGCTAGCCAATGGATAATGAATCAGCCTCCCTTTGAACAGGGAATTCATTGCTTCAGGAGCAGCCCATATCATTGTCAGACAACTCTACTCCTTAGAAAGCTCTTAATAAGAGCTAAAGTCTGATTTTTAGAAAGTTTCAGCCATTTATCCCATCTGTATTCTCCAGTACACAGAATAAGGAACTCAAGGTAATAGAAAAACTATGGACTCAGAGACATACAGTCTCTGAAGCATTTCAACTCTGAATCCTGGCTCTGTCATTTACTGAGTACATGTCTGTAGGAAAGTAGCTTACCAGCTGAAAGCCTTAACTTCCTTATCTGTTAAAAGAGGATAATAACTACCCAGAAGGGCTGTGAGGATTAAGATAACCCATGTAAATATCCTGACATGTCATAAGTGTTCCATAAACATTAATTCCTTTCTTTCTCTCCCACACCCATAAAAACCCTTCAAATATTTTGAAGACAGCTATTATGTCTCCCTTAAATCTTCCTTTCTAGTCAAGCCCTGAAACTACCTAGTTTCCTTCAACCACTTCTCATGAATCTGGCCCATGAGCTCCTGGGCAGGAAGATATACCTTGCTCAATTCTAAACACCCCAGTGCCTGGCATATTTGTTGAAAAATAGTTGGTACTCAGGGGATGTTAACTAATCAGAGCTAAGATGACCTTCACATGGTCAGTCTCAATTCTCAGTAGAAGTCTTCTTGCTTTGGAGGGATGCTGAGAAATTGTTTATAAATGTAAACATCACCATGGATTTTTTTCCCCAAACATTGTTCCCTTGTAATTGCCTTATCAGGAAATTCAAAACAAAGTTTTTGCTCAGTACCAATGCCTCCCTCAGCCTCAGTCCTCTCACATAATTACCCCCATGCCCACCCCTTCATTAACTTGGTCTTTGTCGTTTATATTTGTTTTCATGAATCTTTTGTCTATTGATATTTCTTTCATCCTTTAAAAAGGAGGCAAGAATATTTTAAAACATACTCATCTCTTTTTAAATATCTGAAAAATATTGAACCTAATTCTCCTGTTAACTAAATATTCTCTTCTAAGAAAGACCCAGATCTAGAAAGTAATAAAAATGTTTGCCAGTTCAGCACCTCAGACTCACTTCTGTCCTCAGCTTGATGATTTCCACATCTGCCTTTCCCCTTTACAGAGAGGACACGGTAATATAGATGGTTAGTTCTAAGTTCCTTGGATTATAAAAATGCCTTTAAAAAGTAAATATCAATCACATTTTTTTTAAAGTCAGGGTCTCACTTTGTCACCCAAGCTGGAGAATAGTGGCTCAATCACAGCTCATGGCAGCCTCAACCTCCTGGCTCAGGGGATTCTTCTGCTTCAACCTCCCAGGTGACTGAGACTACAGACATGCACCACTACACTTGGCTAATTTTTTATTTTTTTGTAAAGACAGGTTGTTGTTATATTATCCAGGCTGGTCTCAAACTCCTGGGCTGAGATAATCCTCCCAATCTGGCCTCTCAACGTACAATTTCATTTTTAAAATAGCACATCGTAGGTAAGCAAGATTCTGCATACCCAGCAAGAGATTTTTTTTTTTTTCTCCTCTAACTCTGCTGCCTCTGGGCAAAGATGGCAGAGCATTGAAACACTTGAATCAACTGGTATCTCCACTTTTGTCACATGGCTAAATGAGCCCCTTATTTTTAAACATATGATTGACATCCATGTCTCAAGGTTGAGTCAAAAACAGACCATCCTGCAGGCAGAAAGAGGAATCAAATGACTTCTGAGGTCCCTGCCAGCCCTATGATTTATCAAACAGAAATGTAATTGTGTCCTTAGGTTAAAAAGGAGGAGGGCCAACACCATCCTTGACAGTCCTCAAAACTATAACCTTCAAAAGTCAGTACATGAAACAAAAAGTCCCTTTTCCTTTCTTTGGAAGAGTCTGAAGCCAAGACAACTAAAACTGCCTAAAGAAGGAAACAAAAATAAGACAAGCTGGCAGAGGAGATGGAGAGAAAACTGGGTTTGGTAGGGATGAATCAGTTCATTAGACCCAGAGGGTGTCTCCTTCTTTACTGTGCAATTAGGAACTCAATAAAAGGTTCCAGCACCTGCTGGCGGCTCACAGCCCGTTGTCCCTCGTTACACCTGCTCTCCGTCTTGAATAAGGTAAGTCTATCTGCTAGAGTATATGTAGAATCTCAGCTGCTGCTTTGCTTATATGTGATATTGAGAGAAGATTTCACAGGAAATACACTCTAGGTCTAAGTCAATTCCTATTAATAATAATAAAGTGGGAGTGCCAGCCATCCAAATGTATTCCTTGCTTATGAAACATCTTTGATTATTGTCTTTTTCTTTAAATATATATAAACTGGTTGGATGAGATAGGCATGGATACTATTTAATGAGTCATGGGACTCAGATCTATAATAAAATGAAAATGTAGAATCATTTTAATAATGGATAATAACTAAAGGGTCAGGACTCTATTTGTTCTACCAGTGAATTATTTCTTGTAAAAGCGTGTCGCTCCTGCCTGCAAACATAGTGGCTGGTTTTTTTGGCATTACTTCTCTTTTCACTAGAAACTTTATTAACTTTAAAAGTTATACTCTCAACCGGGCTCGGTGGCTCAGCCTGTAATCCCATGCCTTGGGAGTCTGAGGTGAGTGGATTACCTGAGCCCGCGGGTTTGGGACCTCCTGGGCAACTGGCGAAACCTCATCTCTATAATAAATCAAAAATCAGTCGGGCATGGTAGCGCGTGCCTGTAATTCCGGCTACTCGGAAGGCTGAGGCGGAAGGATCGCCAGAGCCCAGCAGGTCAAGGCTGCGGTGGCCGGGAGCGGGCACTGCACCCCAGTCTGGGTGACAGAGTGAAATTCCAACTCAAAAAAAAATTTTTAAATAAAAATAAATATAAATATAAAAGTTATACTCTCCCTGATCATTTACCATAATACTATAAGAAAGGGTTTGGCAGTAGCAGAATACTGCCAGGGAGGGGGTGGGGACACAACATCAATAAGGGTACCCAATCTTAAACCAGGCAAAGTGGGGACCAAAGGGGTGGGCTAAACTTCACCTGTATGATGTTCACTTGTATTCCTAATACTGAATTGTACCCCACATCTCTAAAACAAAATTTTTTAAAAACAAGAAAAATTAAAAAGTAAGAAAAAATAAAGTTAACTAAAAGAAAAAAAAGTTAATACTTTCCTAAGCTGAGCAGGCTAGACTGAGCCAATGGGAGAGGAAAGCAGATGGACACTCCCAGCTGAGCCTGAAAGAACTGATCACACTCTGCTGGCTTGATTTTGTGGCTCTCAATACTTATACTTGAGTTCTTTTTTCACCCTCTTTTTGCAATGAAGAATTCTCTGAACGTATGAGTGTTGCTCTTTATTGCAGGGTGGGGTGAAGTTCTCTTCTAATACCTGTCTGTGCTAGATATGATCTCACCACAATGTCTGGTGCAAAACTAAATCATCTCTGGAGATTTTAAGATATTTAAAAATACAGAATGGAGCAGGGAATGCAAGTGGAGCTGGAGGAGGAACAGTAAGAAGATATCTCCTTACTGAAGAACCTATATAGGAAATGAGCTTTGTTTGTTCTTTCTCACAGTCTCTCCTGAGCTTGCCAGGATGCCCCAACTTCTGAGAGATGTCCTCTGTGTAATCGAGACATTCCACAAATATGCCAGTGGGGACAGTGACGAGGTAACACTGACCCACAGAGAGTTGAAGCAGCTCCTCCACAACGAGTTCGACGACTTTCTTCAGGTGAGCTGTTCATGGAACTGTGGAAATTCTTCTACTTGCCTTTTCTCCATATTCCAAGCAGGATAAGCATAAATGATCCCTACCCTTTAAACTTAGCTACCAGTTCTCCGCCCTCAGACTTCTGAACTTTTTTCAATCTTGTTCCCCACTCTGTGCAACTGCTTAGACAGTCTTATGTCTAAGAAAAAATGAGGTTTTCACCACTGAGACTATTGCTTCAGCAAGTAGACTTCTGAGTCACAAACGATTATACATATAAATACAACTTACAAGTGATGTAATTGTTTCTTCTCAGTCATAGCTCTCTGGTGAAAAAATGGCACCTAGAGCCAATGAATTCTTACTGTTTTGGGAAATTTAACCAGCTCTTGAAGAATGGGATTGAATAAAGAGGATTCTCAGGAGACATGAGACACTCAGGACACTTACCCTTATATGAATAAACTGATTTCTCCCTGTTGTTTACATGCAGCCATACGTCCTTCGTGCTATGGAGAGAAACTTGAATCTTCTGGATAATGACAGTAATGGCACCATCAGTTTTGTTGAATTTGTGCTTGCAATCTTTAACTTGTTAAACCTCTGTTATCTTGACGTAAAATCATTACTAAGAACAAAACTAAGACAGGTGTCTAAACTAGAGAAGGAGAAGCCAAGTGAAGTGGATCTTCAGGCGACCACTAGCAATGGCCAGAGGACAGCAAGAACTTTGCCAGGTCAGGAAAAGGTGATACTTCCTTCAGTAATATCACCATCATCTCAGCTCAGCCCTGAAGAAAATGGAGCAGTTGGACACAGTAGAGTGGACCCACGGGGAAATGCCAAGACTCACCACCCACCAAGAAAAGCACCTCAGCACAATGACTCTATGAACCAACACCTAGCAGGAGATGAACAGAGCCAGGAAGTGGCTCAAAGTGTACCAGCAACAGAAGACAATGGAGCTCAACTTAAGACAAATAAGCCAGTTGCAGGATCAGGACAGACTGGCAGTTCCACAAAGGAGGGGGGACAGAATAAGGAGATCCCCAGGGAGGGAGATGAACTAGCCAGGGAGCGAAGTGGCACTAAGACAAGAGACCAGTTTGGAGATCAGGAAGGTAACTTGGGAAACCAAAATTCACTGCCAGAAGAAACAACACAGAGACTGTTTGAAGACCAGGAAATTAGAGCAGAACAGGGTATTAAGAAACACTCTAAAACTCAGGGACCACCCCTGCAAGGAGAAACTGAACCCAGTTTAGAGAATGCTGACCAGCCAGAACAAGCTGCTGCCAAGATAGCATCTCAAATGCAGAAAGCAACTGATCCTGAGGGTGACTGTAGAACAGCTGAGACTCAAGAATCACCAGCACAAGAAAAAGAACATGAAACAACGAGCCTACCAGTCCAAGGTAGAGGCAGAAACATTCCAGAAACACCTGGCACAGGAGCTGAAAAGCAACAGGGGACAGCCCCTGAGGCCCATGGATCAGCAGAGCAAAAAGAACATGACAGAAAAACTCAGCCATCAGTCCTGGAAGCCCAAACACAGGATGAGAAGTGTCATAGATTCCAGGGATTATCAAATGAATCAGATACTAAAAAAGATTCTGAGACACAAAATCAAAGCTCAGAAGGAGATCAGAATGACCCTGAACGTGAAGGAGCAGCAGTTCCAGGAATAGAGGCAAAACACACTGAGGAAGGACCAACAGAGGCACTTGTGAACAGCAGAAATGGTCCTGCAGCAGAAGGGACACCAGGAACAAGAGAAAGGACACAAGAGTCGGCACCACTTGAGAACCAGTCTGAAGGAGAAAAGAGTAGGGTCACCAAGTCTTATGACAAGCCAGTCAAAGAGAATGATGGTTACCAAGGGGAGGACCCAGAGTTGTCAGTCACACAGAATGATGAGGGGTCTTCTGAGACTCCCAACAGCCTTGCTCCAAAAGAAGGTAACAGCAGCACAGAGACAAAGGAACTGTCTGTGCAAGAGGATTCCCAGAGTCAAGTGGACCCACATGGAGAGTCTGTGCAAGGAGATCACAATAATAACCCAAATACTCAGAAACAGAGAGCGCCAGCTGAGAAAGACAGAGCCCAGGAGGCCGTGGTGCTGATAGTCAGAGGAGAAGATGTGCAGCTCACAGAGGAACAAGAGCAGCCTACCAGAGAAGAACACAAGAGTCCTGGCTCAGAGACCAAAGGCCCAGGTGCAGCTATGAAGCCCAGTGGACACCCAGAAGCACAGGAGTCCACAGCAAGAGGCGAAAAAGGAAAATCCCTGGAGACAAAGTTCCCAGGTGCCTTAGATGCAAATTTCACTGACCAGCTTTCCATAATGCAGCTCCCTGAAAAGGGACAGAGCAGAAGCGAGTTAAAGATCCAGGGATCAAGTACCAAAGAAGAGGAAGGTGGAGTACCAGAGTTCCAGGATACTCTGGTAAAAGATCTGGATGAGGGCAATTCAGTATCCTCCAAGACACACCCTGGAACAGAGGATAAATCTTTAATGTCCCAGTCAAGCCTTGAAGAGATGATGCTGAGAGACCAAGAGCCCCATTCTGTGGAGAGGAATACAGTCCATTCCAGTTCACCACGTCAGTACCTGCAGGAGAAGATACTGCGGCAAACAAACAATACCCACGAGGAACACCAAAATCAAGCTCAGATAGCCCAGGCATCAGGCCTACAACTTTGCAATGATCAGTCAAGGGCATCCCTCACCAGTGAGATCTCAGATTGTCCTGTCTTTTTCAACCACAGTCAAGTATCACAACAGTACACCAAGGAGTTTCTACCTGTTGAGGAACCTACTGGTGCACAGAAAACATCAGCTCCCCAGGCCTTGGAAGATAAGCAGGGTCACCGTCAGAGAGGGGAACCAGTACCACAAAGGGAGGCGAGAACCACAAAGCAGTGAGTCATAATCTTTAACACAGGAGAGAAAATTACAAGGAACTTCATACTCCTCAACATGCCCCTGACTCCTCTACCAACCACCCTCAACACTTATATGTACTCATTCAGATGCAGATTAACAATCTTTTAAATTGCCTTCTTAAAGTTCTACAAGAACAAAGCATTCAGCAATGGGAGCCACCATCAAAGAATCGTGTGACCAAACAAATACCATCAGTAAAACTTCTACCATATGATGCTACTTCCAAGTGCCAAGATGAACTTTTTCATGTGACAATTTATCTCAATTTACTGTTACTAAAAATAGAAAAATTCAGGCCCAGTACAGTGGCTCACACCTGCCGAGGCAGAAGGATGCCAGGAGTTTGAGACCAGCAACAAAGCGAGACCCTCATCTCTACAAATTTTTTTTAATTTAATTTAAAGAAAAATAAATAAAAGCAAATAAATTTCTTCCATATCTTTATCGGGTGCCAATTTTTTTAACTGATTCATTACTTTTTAAAATGTAACAGAAGCTGTGAGACTTTGCAATACTATTTTATAATCATAAAATATTAATTTATAGATTCAAATTATTCTGCTTCATGACATCTCCCAGAGGTATTTCAAACTTATCCTAAAATTTTATCCTTCAACCAACTTCAAATACCACCATAATTTAAAATAATTATGATGCTCTAGCATCTGATTAAAGTAAATTTATAGCTCTTTGCTCATGTCCAGGTGCAGCTAAGCCTACACCATGCATTCATTCATCCATTTATTTGTCCAACAAACTTTTATTAAATTCCAGCCTTTACATAACCTTTTCATAGTTTCTGGTTCAAATAAGCAGTCAGACTAATTATGAGAGAGAGAGAGAACTCAAATCTAAAGTATGCTTGTTTCCATAAAGTTCTTCTTGTAACCAACCATCCAGTTAGTCTGCTAAATGTTTGCCATATGGTTTGCTGAAAGCATTGAATTAAAACTGATCATTAAACAACGTGATGATCAATTTCTTTTATTGGTTCATTTTTTTCCTTTATTCTCTATCTTGCCTTGGAGACATTGATCAGAAACAAAAACAGTCTTAGTTATTTGTGTTTTTCAAGAGATGATAAACAAACTATGATGTCCTAAGAGCCTAGTTCTAAGACCCAGGAAAGGAGTAAGAGTTATTATACAATGTTTCCTATAACCAAAAAACCCAATATCCCATCTCCCATTGCATTCTGCCTTTGAGGCTCAATATTCTTCCACTTTAACATACACGTCTTCTACAGCCTATAATCCAAGTATATACCCTCCCTCTCCAACATTTTTTGCTCTTTTCATTCTATCTTCCAACATGAATGACTATCCCCATCTGCCAAAATGTTCTCTTAAATGAGCCAGAGACAGCTCACAAAAAAGAAAAACATACAGCAGAGAATAACTAATCAGTCCTTTTGGCAAGCAATTCAGCAATATGTACCTAGGTCTGCAAAAATGACAAAGTTCATCAATAACAAACTCACAAAAGAAGCTATACAGATGGCCAATAAACATGAAATCTTCACTAGGCTTGTGGGAAATGTAAATTACAAATCTTTTTTTAACTTATCAAATCAGTAAAGGTTGTTTATTTTGAACAACCACACAGTGAGGCTGAAAGCATAGGAAAAGAGGAACTCTCAAATATAGCTAGTAGAAGTATACATTAATGCAGTCTTCCTGGAAGGCCATTAATGTGCACCAAAAGTGTCTAAAATAGGTTAGGTGCAGTGGCTAATGCCTGCAAACTCAGCACTTTGGGAGGTCGAGGCCAGAGGATTGCTTGAACCCAGGAGTTTGAGACCAGTCTGGGAAACATAGTGAAACCTCATTTAAAATTTAAAATTTAGGCTGGGCTCGATGGCTCAGCCTGTAATCCCAGCACTTTGGGAGGCCGAGGTGAGTGGATTCCCTGAGCCCACGAGTTCAACACCAGCCAAGGTAACTTGGCAAGACCTTTTCTCTATAATAACTAAAAAATTAGCCGAGTATGGTAGCATGGACCTGTAGTTCTGGCTACTTGGAAGGCTGAGGCTGAAGGATTGCCAGAGTCCAGCAGGTCGACACTGGGGTGGCCATGAATGAGTGTGCCACTACACTCCAGCCTGGGCGACAGAGTGAGACTCCAACTCAAAAACAAAAAAACCGGCCCCGCGCCGCGCCACGCCGACCTGCAGCGCCCGGCTGCCTGGCACTCCGCCTCCCCCGGCTCAGTCCCCGGCCGCGGCGGGACCAGAGAATTGGCTCCTGAGACGGGGCAAGATGGCGACGGCATAGGTGAACTTGTGAGATTCTCTGAACGTGAGTTCCCAAAAAGGCTATCACTTCACTACCCCCATCCCCCAGCCCACCACCAACCGCGCTGGGGGCAGGCCCGGGAACTTCAGTCCCACGCAAGGCCAGATATTGCGCCCCCGCCCCACTGCTGCCGTTCTACTCGTGTGTGGAAGTCTCCGGTCCCAGCCCCCTCCAGATCCCTCCCTGGCTGCATTGTCTCCAGCCCGGGCACCCGGCATCAAGCCGCCGGTCACACAGGGAGGCTCTGGGCACCCGCCCCTCAGAGATGCTGGTTCCATTTCTGGCTGAAGTC